CCGAGAGCTGGGCCAGGCCGAAGGCCCGCGGCCCGACGCCCGCGCGGCCGGCGAGCTGGTCGTCAAGGAGCTGGACCTTGCCTCCCTGCGCTCAGTGCGCGCCTTCTGCCAGGAGCTGCTCCAGGTGTGGGGGCTCGGGAGCCCAGCGGCCCCGGAGGGTCCAAGACAGGCGGAAGGGGCCGGTGGCGGGCGCCGCGGGGTGGGGCCTGCTGTGCGCGGGGCCGAGTGTGGAAGGGGCGGCCCTTGGAGGGAGGGGGTGTGACCTTGGAAGTGATGAAGCCTGTCGGTTTAAATAATAATAATGAAGTAGAATGACTGTGATGAGGCCTGCTAGTGGTAGCCCAGGGAAATCAACAGAACTTAGGGGCTCTCTGCCCACGGATGTTGAGAAAGAAATGATCCCAAGAGGGAAATAGGAAAGCCACCTCTGAAGCACAGTTTATGAGGACGGGCCAACCATAGTCCCACCAGATACTGGAGTTGCATTGCCTGTGGCAGAAGCTGGTCTGCATTAAGCCGTGGGGGCTAAGTGCTTACGAGGTGGGCTATCCAACCTCCAGCTGCCCCCACTCCCCCGGGGAGAACGAGGAGGCTTTAATGTGCTCATCAAGATTTACCAACTCTGATACTACGCACCCGGGCTGTTCTCCCCTATCCGATAAGGTCGCTATGGGGCGGGATCCGAGTGAGAATTCAGAATCCTTGAGCATTTGGCAGGAAGTTCAGAGCATGGAGATTGAGGAAGCAGCATCCCATTTCGTTGTTCTTGTTGAGACAGTTTAACTGGGTGCCACTAGTGCCCTCAACTAGCACCATCCTGAACCAGTCCCTCCTGATTTCCAATAGCATGCACCTGTTTTAAACTGGCTAGGGCTTAAAAGAATATTTATCGTTTATTGAAGGTGTAGTATGTGCCAGCCCCGCTAAGCCAAATACTCAGGTATTTTAAAGGAAATTAAAGAGTCCTTGGCTATGATTATTAAATCTTCACAGTGACCCTCTAAGGTTGGACTTAACATCCCTGTTTGATAATCTGAGGAAACCGAGGCATGGACAGGCCGAGTCACCTGCCTATGGCCCTGTCTCCAAAGCCTTTGGGTTAAATTAATCCTTATTGCTGCTGCTTGGCAGTGAAGTGGAGACTTCTTTGTACAGACAGCGCACAGTTTGCTGACCAGCATGCCCTGTTTCCTTGGAGGTGGGAAGAGTTCTTGTGCAAGTGAACTTGCAAGGGATCTTTCAGAGAGGGATAAAACTTGCTAGCAGAAGAAAGGTAGTCCTGACTGTAGCGTCCCCAAACTTTGTTTGCAAAGTACTGAACCCACAGCCATTGAGTCCACTCTGACTCATAGTGACCTCGCAGGACAGAGTAGAACTGCTTCATGGAGATTCAAGGAAACAGACTGCCACATCTCTAGTACAATCAATTAGGTAGTGTGAACTGCCAGCCTTGCTGCTAGCAGCCAAAAACTTAAACATTACGCTACCAGGACTCTTCAACAGAGTGCTTCGTAATTCTTTCATGGTGCCCTGAGGCCCAAAGAAATAGCTACCAGCTCGATCCAAGCAACCTATTAAGTATTTATGTCTTCTTAACTTAGATATATACTCGAAAGAAAAATGACATTTCATTCTTAAAGAACCACACTTCTTAATAGGATGTGTGTTCCTGTTAGCCATTGTGCCAACTTCTCAAACTTTGGAATCAGGTGGCACATTGCCACACTCGATTTCTGCCGCACAGCGATTTATTTTTAGCACAACACTTGCTTTTTTGTTACCAAACTTGAAAACAACAAAAAAACCCACTGCCATCAAGTCAGTTCCTACTCACAGTGCCCCTGTAGGACAGGGTAGAATGGCCTCTGGATTCCCGAGATTGGAACTCTCTGTAGTAGTAGAGAGTGCCTTCTGTCTTGCACACAGAGGGCCTGGTGGTTTCGAGCTGCTGACCTTTCCATTAGCAGCCAGTGTATAACCACTGTGCCACCAGGCTCCTCCACAAAGATGACATCACCGAAAGGATAATGGCACAGGCTAATGTAGCTTGAAGTCCTTGGATGAATCCCTGCTTCCCTTGAAAACTAAAATATCCCACAGTGCCCGCGGGGTTTGGGCATTTGGCACACAGTAGGTAAGCTGCAGAAGTGGTTTCTCTGACAGTTGGCATTTACTAATGGAAGATGTCTTCCATTTAATAATGGAACAAGTGATAATATATGGGCTGTTGAATGCACTATATTTTCCTATTATCAAAATG